GGAGGAGAGAAGAGAAAGAAGAAGAAGATGAGTGGGAAGCGGAGGAGGAGAGAAGAAGAAGAAGAAGAAGAAGCAGCAGCAGCAGCAGCAGCAGCAGAAGAAGAAGAAGAAGAAGAAGAAGAAGATGTGCGTTAGGGTATGGCGGCGGCGTGGGCGTATGACGGCGGGGTATGGTGGCGGGGTACGGCGGCGGGGTACGGCGGAGGGAAGTAGTAGGAGAGAAGAAGAAGAAGAAGAAGAAGAAGAAGAAGAAGAAGAAGATGAAGAAGATGACGAGCGGAGCAGTTTTTTTTTTTCTTTTCCCCTTACCTGTCGTTTATCTCGCGACCTATCGCTAACGAATTTAAAAAAAAAAAAAGAAAAAGAAGATTGTTGGAAGAGGAGGAGGAGGAGAGAAGAATAAGAAGAAGAAGATGAGGGGGAGGACGACGACGAGAGATGAGGCACTCAGGTAGTTGTTCCGCTTTCCCTGAAACTCCTGATGCCTTTCTGTTTTTCCAACGGATTTTTGCAGCGCAGCCAGCTCTTGGGTGGTGTGCAACAGTGTGTCAGTGAGGAGGCCCAAACTCTCTTTGATTTCAACTTTTTTCCCTCTTTGGTCTTTCAACAGGGCCTGTAGTCTTTCCCCTTCCTCCTCCACCACATAGACTCAACCCTCAACACTTAATCCTTCTACCCTAGGTTGGAGTCTGGCTGGACTATTTCTTCCCTCTCCACAATGTCACTAAAGCTACCCTGTCAGACTGTTGGGCAACCAGCAATTTTAAGGTCGGCCAGCAAGGACCTCAGGAATTATTTAACGACGCAAACAGGATGTCATGCCCACCAGAATCTGCAGGTTCGCTCTCAAGACTTATAGCTCCTCACTGCGTCAGCTCCGGTTCAGTCGCATGCCGGTCAGTACCGGTCTTAGGGCTAGATGAGTTGTTCTACGAGCGCTTGCCGCTCATGCCCATGCTCCCTACTTTACAGGTGATACATCCAATTGTCGAGCTTCTAGCCTAAACACGACCAACTTCATATACACAAGGGTACCTGTTGCGGCTTCGCTCGCAAGGAAATGAGGGGAAAACGGGAGAAATGAGTCGGGGTGGGGGGATCGGGGGTTTGGGGGGTTGAGGTTAAGGGGGTGGGGGTCGTGGGTGTTTTGAGACTCACCTGTGTAGTGTTGTTGACTGTGTTGTTACACTGCTGCTGGA